GAAGGCAACAGTGGTATTAAATGGTCTACCTGAGACTGACAACCTAAAATTTTTTGGGGACCAATGCTTCTGGACCTCTTGAATTGATAAAATAATTCAAATACCCCCAAAAAGCCATTTCTGTTCTTCATTTCACTTGCAGTTTGAACTTAGAAGTTTTGTTCAAACTGTGGAATGATTTTATCTGAATTCCAATGTTCATACTCTGGATTGTTTGAAGTTAGAGTTGTTTAAACTACAAGGCACCACTATATATGAAAAAAGAAATAAATTGCAGTATTTTAGAGAGGGGAAACAGTGTTGTGGACAATGTATTACTTTCTTCCTCTTAATGGACAAGTGTGACACAACTGGACTACAACACAAAACAGAAAGTGCTCCTCTCCCTCTTCAGATGGTCATGGCCTCCTATGACAAGGGTCAGCAACCCACAGTTCCAGAGCCACATGTGGCTCTTTCATCCCTCTGCTGTAGCTCCCTGTCACTCAAAATATGTGTCACAACTGCCAATGTGCGACACCCACTGCCATGTGATTTATTGAGCTTTTCAATCCCCGGTAGGCCAATCATGGATAAATCCAAGAAAAGAAAAGTTTCAGAAGAAAACAAAATATTTAATGGTACGTAGGCAGGTTCATTTGCTTTCACCGCTGATGAGACTGGTTTACCAGTATGCTTAATATGTGGTGAAAAATTGGCAAACAAAAAGTCAAATGTTGCAAGATGTTTCCAGAATAAACACACATCTTTGCTGAAAAATATCCGGATGGAGATAAGAGGAAAAAAGCCATTTCGGAACTGATGCAGAAGGTTAATCTGAGCAAAAATCATTTCAAGAAGTGGATTAAGTCTGCAAATTCAACTACATATGCTAGTTTTGTGGCCACTCAGGAAATAGGCACAGGAAGCTGTTCATAAATACAAGGAGGACTCAAATAGGTAATGAGTATTTTATTTGAAAGTAACCTTCAACCCAGCATCTTTTTTCGGAGTTCAAAATGTTTTTGTTGCATGCAGAAATAATTTTTTTTCTCTGTAGCAGTTCATTGATTTCATAAATGCAACACACTATAGTTTTTTTATACATAGCATAAAGGTAAAAATGATATATGCAGTGTTATCTTCATTTTAGATGTCAAAAGGGTTTGCGGCTCCCAGTGTTTTCTTTTCTGTGGGAAATGGCTGTTTGAGTGTTTAAGGTTGCTGACCCCTGTCCTAGGTCCTGAGGAGACCCAGCAGAACAAACCACCTCCCACTGCCTGCAGGTGTGAAAGCTCTAAGGTCACAGCTGATACCAGGGGAAGGGAGGGGAGACCTGACCCAATATACCAGCCCATCTCAGCTTGTAGACACAATCAAGCTGCAGTCATGGGCAGGGACAGGAAGGAGTACATTCAGCTGGGTCTCCCTGGAAGAAACCCCAGGGACCATGCTGTTCACCTACCATCCTCCACCTGCAAAGTCTGCCTCAGCCAGGGGCAGGATGGTGAGTTCCCACCTAGTATACTCCTTCCTGAGTACCAAGTGCTTATAAGCAATCTCATCAGGAGTTACAAGATGGCATGACTCTGCATCCCCCACTTCACCTTACTACCTTCCTCACCTGTAGCTGCTGAGTGGGAGATGGCAGAGATGGGGGGGGGGGCTCCATCCCACCTGGCTGCCATGGGGAAGGGCCTTTCAGTGTGTGGCCTTTTTCTCCAGCCAGCTCACAGGGTGACACAAATGGCACTACCTGTTTGGCACCTGGGTGGCGCTGCGTGGCAGGAGTTTCTGCACATTTGTTAGGGTTAGAATTTGGTTTGTGGCATGGACTTGTGGGGAGGTTGAGCTTGCTGGCATAGAAGAGGGGACAGATGCTTAGTACCTGTCCCATCTCCTAGTTCTTCCTCTAGCCCACAGATACCAGGTAGCCCTATCAGCTTTCCCTCTGGCCTGTTGGTGCTGCTGCTTTATGGCAGGTCAGTCTGTAGTAAAGCTTCCCTCATCCAGAATTTAATTGTGGATGTGAGGGCTGACCTGGTATGTATTACTGAGAGCTGGGTGGGATTGGAAGGTGGACTTCCTCTCACTCAGCTCTGCCTCCCCCTTCACCACAGGTTACTCAGTGCAGCACCAACACTGTCTGGAGGGACAGGGAAGAGAATTGGTATGCACATTGGTGTCCACAGTGATGCATAAGTGACCACCCTACTAGTGACCTACTTGCTTCTGACAGTGAGGTTTGTACTGGCACAGAGAAATCCTTAGAAAGAAGCCAAATCCTATGAACTGGCAGTGATAAAATTGGCAATGATTAATAAGATACATGCACACATGCACACACAATGGCCAGGTGAGAAAAGAAACAAGCAAAAGCTTAGGGTGATTATTAGATTATAGGGAAGGAGAGGCAGCTACATTTAGATTTTCCTTATTTAGCCAATGCTTATCATTCCACTTGCTTTAGCTTATTATTTAAATATTTGGAGTGCAAAGTATCCACTGACTTCCCCATATGGGTGATGTGGCAGCGTCAAAAGAGAGAACTACCCAAACTGGCAGGCCTTGATATCAAGTTTCTAACCTGTATTATTTTGATAAGAGTCAAAAGTTTTGTTTTAACTTAGTGAGTGACACTGGCTGTATGTTTACTTGTGTGCCAGTCTTGTCATTTAGAGCTAACTCTCAAAGGGGCATCTCCCAAAAGCACACCGACACCACAATTAGGTCTAATTATCACTGAGAAGTCCACAGAGGAGTTCAATTATGGGTTGTATCCAGCAGGCAAACTAAGTTCAGAATGAACTTTGCCAAGTAGCTGATTATTAGTTGCTACAAGGAGAGAGATTGGCTCATCAGTCCCTTGGACACAGCTGTTTCCTCTAGCACAGTTCTCTCTAATAACATCAACAAGTATATGTCACAGCTGGTGTCCAAAGGGAAATACAGAAGCAATTGGGGCAGTGCAGGCCTACACAAGAAAAAAAGTTTGAAACTTTCCCTTGATTCTGAATGATTTCTCATGCCACAATTTTTACTCAGACAAAACTCTTGCAGTATCTTCTTCTAAATTAGCTTCTCTTCTGCTACTTCTGCCATCACTGTAACTATGGAAAAGAAAGTGGAAATGAAGCACTTGTAATGTAAATGAACCCTCAGCCTAGCAAGCATTAGAAATCACCTGAAGCAGGGAAGGCTTTAGCAAGTTAGTGCAGTTAGATTATTTTAGACTCTGGATTTCATGGGCCTATGACAGGGCCACTCATTAATGGCCTGGCCCACACAATCACAGGGAGAGGGGATGTGACTGGGGTAGCTTCCAAACCATCCCAGAATCCTATAGCAAGCCATGAAAGCCACGCAACTCTTACCAGGCATGGACACTACACAGCCCACAAGTGGCATGCATGGGGAGGGGGAAAGAATCCACTGTTACTCCTTTTCTTCAAATGAGCAAGTAAACCCAGCCAACATTTATTATTTTGCTTCCTTCAGAAGTGGTAAGCTAGCCTCACTATGTTCCAGAGCCCTCCTACAATCTCTGCTGAGTGGGGCCAGGTGTATTATTTCAGTTGTGAAATAGACAACACTTCACTTTTCCCTCCACATCAGATCCATGCCGAACTTTACAAGCACTTTTACATTAGCAACAGACTGAGTGAAAACACCCCACATGAAACATGCAAATATCATGCTGCAAATCTTGATTTTAGAAAGGAAGGAAAGCACTAAGTCTGTCCAGTTCTGTACTTAAAATTCAGCTAAACTGTAGCATGCAACTCACACACGCACACACAGAACCATGACTGCAAGTATAAAATGAACATTGCTTTCTGAGTTTCTTGTGTACTGAAACAATAAGCCCTAGGACAGGTATCCACAGCCTAAGACCCCCCTCAGCAACAATAAAACCCCCACTTAAAAATCTCAGTTCAGACAATATACTTTTAAAAATAGAGGTATTATGCTGCATCTGCAGAGTCAAAAGGAAGGTCTATTGATAAACTTCAGAAAATCATTTTATATTCTCTAGGAAATTACAAAAAGGTGAATTCATTAACACATACACACCACTACAAAATTCAATGTCCTTCATGTTACAGCCTCTCAACAGGTTGTTATTCCCATTTCTACCTGGTGGGGAAAATTCCACTTTGAAACTCAACTTACTAGATTTCAATAAGTAGAATTCTCCCTTAACCCCTGTCCTGTTCCCCCACTATTAACAAGAGCCCTGATATTCTCCTGCCATTATCAAAGGGAGCGTGAGGGTCTTCCAGATGACTGCCTCAAGGCATTTTAATTTCTCTGCTAAAGTTTCCAGTACACCTGGCTTACTTATTTCTTTTCCAGTTTTATCATGGGCAAAGATCTACATCTTGGGATTTCTGCTAACCTAACAAAAGTTGTAAAGGAACCACAATAAAAAATGTCCCTGTCCCTTCTCCTTTTTCACTCCTTTATGCAGCATGAATTGATATGTTAAGATTGTAGGAATTTAAAAACAGAACAGGCAAGTTCAAGTGGTCTTTTAACAAGAAACAATTTTATGATGGGAACATAACATAAACTGGAACAATAACAGAAAAAAAGATTTCTATTTTATATATGTAGAACAAAGATATAAGCTAAAGAGGATTCAAACAGATTCATTTCCCTTTACCTTTAGTTTGTTCCCTCATGTCAAATTACAGTCGAGGTCTTTATTTTGCACTTCTATAATGTATGTCTTTGGATTGAACATGTCCAAGACACCTCTGGTCCAGTCCAAAATCCTAGACAGCTACCAGCAGCACTTGTTTCCTGAAGGACATTCATGGGTGCATGTGCAGGAGAGTGATCAAGTTTACTTAATCAGACCACCAATGACTCTCATGCCCTCACCTGCTTCCATTTTCTAAGCAACCAGAAATTCTCTACTCCTGGGTTATTGTCACTATATCTGAACATGGAAACTCTGGATTGTTTTGGGATCCAGCAATCCAGAGTTAATGCATAGATTACTGTTGGGTTAACTCTAGATCTTTTGACATCCAGGCAATTTGGGGCACCTGGGTTTGGAAACAAAGATTTAGTTTTAATTTTTGAATTCCAGTACAAGCAAAGGAAGGGAAAACACAAAAGAGAAGGGGGAAAGATGGACAAAAGAAAGAGAACATATTATAAAACATTGATATGAAGTAATCATTTCCATCACCCTTGAAATTTAAAAAAGAAAGGGAAAGAAGGATTTAACATTTCTGTTTCAAATGTGCAAGCTGCCCGCTTATCTAGACAAACATCCATATGAAATTGACAGGTGTAGGAAACTGAAACTGCCCAAGGACAATGGACAAAACAACTCATAGTTAACCATTATGGCAATTTCTCCCTGATTACATGACTCCAGTCCTCCATCAGCTTCACTGGCTTCCCATTGAAGCCCGGGCCCAATTCAAGGTGTTGATTATGACCTATAAAGCCCTAAATGGCTTGGGTCCTGGCTACCTGAACGAGCGCTTACGTCCGTATATGCCCGACCGCCCCTTGAGATCTGCGGGAGAGTCCCTTCTCCGGGAACCCTCCATGAAAGAAATTAGGAGAGTAAGTACTCGGAGGAGGGCTTTCTCTGCGGTTGCGCCCAACCTATGGAATTCACTCCCCAAAGAGGTCCACCTGGCACCGCCGTTACTGGTTTTTCGGCGCCAGGTAAAGACCTTTTTATTTAAACATCATTTTAATTGTTAAAACATATGATCTGGCCAGGGCAACTTCTTCTTCCTTCTCTTTTCTCCTCCTATATTATTTATTTACTTATTTTATACTGATAATTTTAATTTTATATTATTATGTTTGTAACTCAGTGTATTTTTTGTATTTTTGTATTTAATGGTAATTTATTATGCTCTTTTGTATTTCAATGTATTTTATTGTGTTGTAAGCTGCCCCGAGGCTTCGGCAAGGGGCGGCATAGAAATGTTATAATAATAATTATTATTATTATTATTTGGCTCAAATCTGACCTCTGTCTCTTTCACCCTGAAAACATGGGGGTGCTGTGTGCTTCCATGCTTGAAATAGATTTAGTCATAGAGGTTAGTGAAGGTCTTCAGCCCTTCCCTGACCTCTCTCAAGTAGACCCACAGGAGAGAGAATAAACATGGGCACTGCAGCTGTATAGTCCTTTTGCTTGATCTGGGCTGCAATCATATCTCCCAATCCTAACCAAAGCAGGCATGTGCTACCTTCAGAGCATGAGCAGAAAGCAAAACCAAAAACTTTAAACACAGGAAGAAAATCTTTCTAAACTGATGAAACTGACTTCACCCAAGTGCTCACCCAGCAGATATTAATATGCAATTGGGGTTCCTAATGGGGGAAACATGACACACATGGTCCAGGCTTTCTCCTTGTCTCACAGAGCAATCCAAGGATGTTTTGCAGTGGTTGGCACTTACAAAAGAGATGTTTTGGATACTATATCAAGGTGTGAGACTATGCCAGACTGTGACATTATGCAGGGACTGTGGTTCATTTATCTGACACAGCATCTGAACATGCTGATGCAAATATTAAGGAATTTGAACCTTAAGGTTTGCAATAATTTAATTAATATTAATTCATTTAATAATTACTACCCTTCACTCTTAAGCACCCATTAGCACCTGGGGAAATCCTGGTTTTTAAACATGTTGTATCCACCCTTATTATTCATACAATACAATTTATGAATGGGTAACATATTATGGGTACTGCAGGTGGCGTAGTGGTTTAAACCACTGTGCTGCTGAGCTGGTTGATCGAAGGTCACCAGTTCGAATCTGCACAATGGAGTGAGTTCCCATTGCTCCGTCCTAGCTCCTGCCAACCTTGCAGTTCAGAAACTTATTATGGTGGAGAAACAAGATTTGCTGGTTGCAGCCAAACTAGCAGAGAGCTTTGTCATACCTTAGAAATGAACAAATTTATTGTGGCTCTTGCTGACCAAGATGAGGGCAAATTTAATTAGCTTCTTGGACTGAGGAAATGTATTCACTCAAGTTTCTATCCTACAAAACACAAGATGCAGTTGGAGGTCATAATAGGGGGGAAATATAATCTAGATTTTCTCCCTTGCTTATAAACTAGCCCAAGACAGCTTTGCAACAGTAAGTCAGCCGTTTTCAAAGGGAAGTTCTGAATGCTGTACCAAGTGAAGCCATAACATCATGCTGCTGTGCACATGTGCTCTGACAAGATTCCCAGGTGTGCACGAGAGATGGCCCATTTTGAGCCATCTGATAGCTCAGACATGGGGGGTGATGTGGGGATGGCTGGACCAGAACAGACTCAAAGCTCACCCTCTGATAATGGAATTGTTGTTATAGCTGATAGGCCTACACCTGCTCTGGATGAAAATAGCTCAAGGACACCCACAGGGCCCAGTCTACCTTCCACCTGTGGGAATGGAGCAGATGAAGGATGGGAGGAGGGAGATTTGGAACTGGGTAGTCTCTTGAGTGGAGAACACGAGGCTTCTCAAGACATGGACCCAAGGGCCTGTTGTCACACCCACAGGCTGGCTCAATTAGGGGCTCAGAGTGCAGAACACAGATGTGTGAGTTTTCATAGCACCCCTCCTTCCAGAGACCAGCCCTGAAGGGTTCTTAAGGAAAACTTTGGGTAAAGAGGGGCAGAGAGGGGGTCAACAATTCTCTTCGTGTAATCTCAGAGGCTTGTGAATGCTTAGATTTCTTGTGCAGAATAAAAGATTTTACAGGACATGCTAGAGTGATTGTCCTGCTTGGAAAGGCTCTCCTAGCTCACAACACATGCTAGGACTATGAATCATTAATCTGACATTGCAGATTAGGATGATGTGTAACACAGGGGCCCAAATGCTCCCCTTTAATTAAAGTGATTCACAAAAAAGCACTCCACAATTCTACGCATGAAAATTCTTCTGCTTAAAATATGATGCCTGTTTAACCAATAACATGAAACTTTGCACCTATGATCTACCCAGGGAGGTTTACAGTTGTGTGTACAACTAACGTATACATATGTATATATACTACAAGTACAGAAAAGAAGGAAGGTGGGGTAATAAAATGAACCCAAAAGCCCAAGCAATGCAATGCAAGCAATTGTCAAGCAAGGTGAACATCAAAAAAAAAAAGAAAGAAAAAAATCCAGTAAAAATAAGAATGAAACACCCTGGCAGTTTCTCATGACACAAGAAGCCATGCTGGTTCCTTGAGCAGGATGGTCTGTTGTGTCATCTACACCCTATCAATTGGTTTTCAGAAAGCACAATGAGAAACAATGTTGTGTTCTACGGTTTCCCCTCTACTTTATGGTTTCTCCACTCCTCCAAACCTGGCATCATGGCAGGCACCATCCTGGGAGTCAGCTACTACAGAATCCCCTGAGAAAAGCACCAACTCCATGAGCTGCTCCAGCCACCCAACAATGGATTGAAACTTAGGTGTGGTGGCTGATGGGTTACATGTCAACAGTAGAAGGACTGAACCAGGAAGGTGGAAACCATGCTAGCATAGAAACCACTTGATTGGCTCTTCCAGCACAGCAAGGCAAAACTGTGCATCACAGAAACCCCTTAGGGTTGTTTGTCATGACATGCGTACCCAGCCTCTGTCTGTGTTAGGTGATCACTGTCATGTATGTAATTTTGGATTAAAATTTTCTGATGAGAGCTTGGGGTTGAAATGTATGGGGCATGGACAGTTTTGATGAAACCAACTCCTGGGTTACCTTTGTCTGTGATTTTCTCTGTGTGGCTAACAGAGGCCATTTTTCAGTCTCACATTACTGGTTTTTTCACTTTTTCCCCATTTTTCTTGGGGAAAAAAGTGGCTGATAGTCCAAGAGAGGAGCATGGCCACTGGCACCCTCAATATGTCTCACACACATTTTCCTCCCATTTTCCCACTCTCAAAAACATCTGAAATGCTGTCTCACTAGATTCTAATTTGGAATATATGCACAGATACACACAAAGGGAAATTTGCAGAGATCCTCGCAAAGTGCAAGTCTTGGCTTGCAGAAGGCATTCCACAGTCACTGGGAAGGTGAGGTCTCACAGATAAAGGGAAAAAAGAGAAAGTGCAGCCAAAGATTAACAAGCATTCCTATGCAATCTCCAAGTCTCAGGTTGCAAAACTTGGGGGTTTGTAGGAAATGTCCCCAGGACAGCTACTGCTCCACAATGAAAACCCTTTTCAATATTAGTCAAATAATGTGGACCTTGTGCAACAAATGAAAAGTAACTTTGCATTTATTGTGCATGGAAAGTACTTATGGTGGGAGAATGCCCTAAGAGATGTCTTCCCACACAATCATCCACAAGCATGACACAATCACTTTTAAGGCTTCAATCATATGGTCACTAACTTGGGCAACAAACTCTATTGAACTCAGAGGGAATTAGTTCTGAATAAGCACACATAGGATTGCATTCTTTATCTTTCAGCAAAGGAGTAGTCTTCATCAACAATGATACAGTTTCCAAAAATTAGATTGGAGGTTTTTCTATATGAGGCATTTAACCCAGTGCTTTAGCAGTTTTTTAATTCCCCCAGGAGTTTCCTCTATGCCTTTTTATATGTTCCTATATGTTCTGTTGGGACTGCAGGACACAGTGGTTTAAACTGCTGTGCTGCTGGGCTGGTTGATCGAAAGGTCGCCAGTTCGAATCTGCACAATCTGCTCCTGCCAACCTTGCAGTTCGAAAGCATGAAAATGCAAGTAGATAAAACGGTACCACTTCGGTGGGCAGGTAACAGCATTCCGTGCACTTCAGTGTTTAGTCATGCTGGCCACATGACCATGGAGACTGTCTGTGGACAAACACTGGCTCTCTTGGCTAGGAAACAGAGATGAGCATCGCTCCCTAGAGTCAGGCATAACTGGACTTAATGTCAAGGGGAAACCTTTACCTTTACCTTTATATGTTCTGTTACACAACAGCAGGTGGCACTGTGCTATAGAGTGAAATGCAGCTTTTAGTCAATGCATCATAGCAAATAAGAACATCACCCTGTGCATAAGCCGTGTTCTAAAAGAAGCCACAAAAATGACTGGGAAATGCAAGAAAGGCCATGGGAGGATGAGAGTGTCATGTGAAAAAGTGCACAATAAAAAGAAAATCCTGTAGAAAAGCCCTGCATCCATTCACCCCAGAGAAGTAGTGCTCCCCATAGCCCCATGCACCTTGGTGTTCAGGACAGGCCTTAAGATTGTCCCAGCCTGCATCACAGAGAAAGAAAATTAGAGTGACCCCAGTTTTACCAAACAGCTGTAGGAAGGACAAAATCCTACATTCCTTCTATGATGGGGTTAGTCCTCAGTGATCAAAGGTATGGAGGTTGATTGGTGGTAAACCCAAGACAAGAAGGACCCTCCTCCATTCCTACCACTCACCCACACCAAGATCCATATAAGTTGTTTAAATAAATTGATTAAATGAATAAATAAAATCCAGACAAAGAGGGGAGGAGAATTAAGACTAGTCCCTCAGAAAAGGAAAGGCATAATAATTTATACTGTGTTACCTTTGCCCATAAAAGCACAGTTGTGGAAGCTGCAAGTCCCCATTGACTTGGCCACTACCATCTTTCCCTTTGAGGTGTCTTTAATAGAAGTGATGTTGAATATCTCATAGAGAGGGACTAACACTTCCTCTTCATACTCAAAAATGGACATTTCACTTATCTCAATTCCCTTGCAAGTAAACAACTTGAAGAAGGTTACACTCTGAAACTTCTTAGCCATGTTTTGGTCCAATGAGGTGGAAGTAAACTGCCCAAACCGGAAATGATTTCTGACAGAAAACTCTACACTGACACCTCTGTAGACTTTTGCACATTTGTGATTCTTGGGCCGGCGTAGTCTGGATGTCCTGGTTAAGAGGAAGTGTAATGACTTAAAAGGGTAGTGTCCATATTCCTCAGGCCCCTTTCCTGCTGTGCATGTGGCAGCATTGAAGGCTCTGTGGAGTGGGGGGCTTTCTATCGTGTATGCCCAAATGGCCACCTCAGAGAGCTCTGTGACATTCCGTGGGTTGAGCCAGGACTGGTTGGTCTGCCAGAGAATCAGGACCTGATTCCAAGCTTCGTTATACTGCTTCGAAAAGCTCAGCTCATTTTGAATGAGAGCAGTCAGGTGACTCTCCGTGCTTGCCATGCAGCCTTTATACCAGTCATCAAGGGAGTAGCATGCCATGTTCAGTTCTGGGTTGGACTTGTTTGTTGACATCTCATCAGAGCCCATCTGAAGCCAATTGATAAGGGCAACATATGAGACAAACTTTCCTCTCGGAAAGTATATGCAGTTTTGCTATCCTAATGCAGGTTTTCTGGTGCAGATCAATCCAATCCACTCATGTCTGAATAGTCCCTTTCACTATGTGCCTGGGGTGTGGAATGTCTGTAGGCTAAACCCAACCCAGGGGTTCTACGAAGTTCTTTTCTGGTTTACACCTCCTTTTTCTTGATCACACCACCTTTCCTCAGACTACCAATCATCCAATTTGTGTATTTTTTCCATTCTAAAATGTTTATTCCTTATGTACTTATTATATTCACATCCTGCCTTTTTTCCTGCAAGGAGCCCAAAGCAGCTTACATAATCCCACCCCCTCCCCATGTTCTTCTCATGACAACCCTATAAAGAAAGTTAATCTGAGAGTCAGTGAATAGTCCAAATTTACCCTGTGAGCATCATGGCTTAAGCAGAGACTAGAACCCAGAATCTCAGTCCAACCCTACTGCCTCTAACCCTAACCCCACTTCCTCTCACCCACTGGAGGCTGGTGGCTCCAATGTCAGCCAGTGAGTCCATTCTGAGTTGCCATTAGAAGGTTTATGAGCTGTCCCTTGTACTGAACTTATTAGGGAAGATGGGACTCAGCAACATGACTACCTCCTTCAAAGTTTAGACTAAAGCCTAGTGTGAATACACCACCCCACAGACATTGGAGTCACCAGCCTCACCAGCCTCCACTGCTCCCACCCACTCTGGGCAGACAAATTCCCTAAAAATAAACAGTTACTTTTGTACAATTGCTCCAGTGAATGCTGTAGCATATGTACCACACACTGTAGTGCATGTACCACACTTGACCTTCTCCTATTCCCTTTTGACATTTGTGACAGAGTTTTGGCACTTAACTTTCAGCATCTGGCACCCTGAGTAAGAGCCAATGGGTGGGGGGTGCTTGAGGGACTGCTCCTCCTTCTGGCAATGTGGTCCTAATCCAGCTGACTCAAGCCAGTATGGACCCATGAACTTATGTGAAATATGCACCCAGAACCCATTGGCTCACCTTTTGTACTTCACAGAGCCTGGAGCCCTCCCTCCAGTAGCCCATCCCCTGTGTTTGCCTGGAAGCACAGCCTTCCACAGCTTCAGGGCACTGCCTTCGCACCCTCACATACCCTGGTGCAGTTTGGTTGAGTGAAGGCCTCTGTGTTCTCTTCTGCTGCCTGGCTAAAGCTGAGCAACTTCTAGGACATTGTGGGGAATGGGGTACAGTCAGCAAGGTGGCGGGGCATGACAGAGAGAGTACAGAAACCTTTTCTCTGCCTGCAGAAGTGAGTGAAGGGCCAAAGCAACACTGCCGCTGTCTGCTGTGGGTGATCATTGAGTGGACTTTGGAAGTGGAGGCAGTGGTTGCAGGAGAAGCCATTTTCAGGTGAGTGAGGAGGACATGAAAGGGAGCTAGAGAACAAAAACGTGCTTATTTTGGACCTGGGGGCAGAGACTGAGAGGACAGAGAAACTAATTCAAGAGACATTAGGAGAGAGCAGTGAATAGATTTTTCCACCTATTCATGGATGATCTGGAATTAGGAGTGAGTGATGAAGCGGCCGAGTTTACTGATGACAGCAAACTATTTAAGGAGGTCAAAACCAAAATGGAATGTGAAGCCCTCCAAAATTATCTCTTCAAGCTGGGAGAATAGGAATCAAAATGGCAAATGTAGTTCACAGGAGGAATCATGAGCTACCCAGATAATTTTTTTTCCTGAATTTGTTAAGCACCTAGATCATTTTTAACCCTGAACTCAGACATGTTCTTAATTCACTCAGGGCGCGACATGGGTGGGTAGGTAATAAGTCTAGAGGAAATTACTGTTGGGGTGTCCTGGAGGTGTTCTTCTTGGAGCAAGATCTAGGTAGCTAATGAGTTCAGGAAAAATTATCTGGGTGGCTAAAAATTTCCTCCTGTAACCCCCCACTCCACCTTCTGTTTTCTACCCTGCCATCTGCTCCAATTGGTACCAGTCTCCACTGAATCCAATAGCAAGATATTGGTGAACCACTGGACCTCCTTACAAAAGACCTGAAATGAGACTCACAACTCATAAATATCTTCTTAGCACAGTGAGGATACTGATCTCTTCCCCTTCCTTGCTGCATTACATCTTTTCTCAAATTTGGAGGAAACCCTGAATGTTTTCTTGGCTCAGCTTTCCCAAAATAGCCACTGGTCACTTCAAAGGGAAAGTGTGGGACTTACCTCTGTCACACCTTGAGTGGGCCATGGAATGAAAGCCACTAAAAAGCACACCATGTACTGAGGTTTCTCCATCCTGGTGACCCACTTCATTCTCACACTGGTGCAGAAATTTTGTCAAGTAACACTTGCAGAAGCTTTACTCTGCAATTTAGAAATCCAGATCCAATGGCAAAGGACAGAATTCCTAAAACAAATTAGGATTTTTTTTCTGTTGGCTATATGTAACATTGCCTTATTAACATTGCATGATTCTGTCCACAAAAGTGGGAGGGAAGGAGTTAAAACCATAGACAACATGAGATGGACCTCTCTACTTAAACTATGTCCTTCCTGTCCATTTGTCTTCCCACTTCACCTGGAAAGGCAAAAGTCCATATGACTATTTGCCCCCTCCTTCTCTCTTTCCCACTGAAGAAGTGTGTTTTCCATCTCCCCATCTTTAAGCTAACTAGCCAACAATGAAGCAAGAAATCCTGCATGAACATATCAATATCTCCCCTTAATGCACATTACATTTGAGTTGTTTATATGTAAATAAATCTTCTTACCTTTTGTTAAAAAACCTCTGTGAGGATTTTGACAGATCCAGATGCAAGCAACAGCTTCTTAACTAAATCTGTTGTTTAATGCTTACCTCTGTTGAGCCTGCATATAACCAAATATACAACATACTCTCAACACTTTCCTCTTTGCTTTCTGACTGCAGTCTCTTGGTCCTCTTTTTATAGGAATCTGTAACATGAACAAAACTTAATCCAGCTGACATAAAGCCACAGGATGGGTCATATGACAGGTTTAAGCATTGCTGGGAAGATAACAAGATAGGTACACGGTATCTGTGGGTCAAACCGCTCAAGTGTAGAGCAAAGATATTGTCCATTATCTCATGAGTAAGAGGTGATCATTCTACTACGAGGAAAAGAACTATCAAATGAGTCCTTCATACCATTATGGATGGACCCTGGTCCAAGTTACTACAAGCAACTTGAGAAGAGGTACCATGTTGGAAAAGAATGTGAACAGTGAACTTTGAGAAGCTTGTTTCAGCCCTAGAGTTTAAAAACCCAGAAGGCTGATATTTTAAAAGCACACAGTTAGACAGCCGAGGTGCCACATAGAACTTGGCCAACACAATCTGGTAACCTGTGGTTTCTCTACATGAAGCGTATAGTCCAGAACTATATTGAGGCTTCTTCTTCCATTTGCTTTGCAGAAGAATTACAGCATCCTTCACATGAGAGTTTTTTCTGGAGGTTTTCCTCTCTGCCTTTCTATATGTTCATGCATGTTCCAGAAAAAGCCACAAAAATAGCTGAGGAAAAGTTATTCCCAGTCCTTTAGAAATTGCATAGAATTGTATGCATATTGGGTCTTCAAGGATTCATCCCTGAAATGTTGCCAAGCTTTTCACCAGTGGGACATGAAAATTAACATCAGTGTTATTTGGCTAGATTCAGACAACATGATAACCCGAACTCAAGGGTACAAACAGGAGTACGAATACAAACTACCAGTGAAGAGAACCCATGGTTTGTTGTTGGGTTGTGCACTGTGGGTTGTTCACTATAGTTTGTTATCCATTCCATTTCTCTGCCCACATATAGGTTAGAAAGGTTTGAAAGATCATTTATAAAATAGAGGATTAACCAGAAGGCCAGTTTGTCTTCAGAGCCTTTTGCAAATCGTTATGCTCATCACTCCACTTGCCCCCTTTCATGGGGTACTGTCTATCTTTTTTTGCCCAAGAAGACAGAGAGAATTCTTACAAAAGTGCAACCAGCCACTTGTGCACCTGGCACTTTTCTGCCTTGACTTGTGAAAACAACAGGGTAAGGCATGCATACTTGTACCACACATCTGGTACAATGAAAGCTTCCTTTTGGATCCATGGCAAACAAGATTTGCAGAGTCTTTAAAAGTAGATGGTTCACAGTCAGAGCATGCCACATGGAATTATTCCCCTTGAATCTCTCCTTTTTGAGATGGTCCTATTGAATTAAACTATGGAATGTTCCCATAGTGATGGTTTTAAAAGGGATTGGACAAATTGATGGAAGAGATGTACATTGGTCCTGATGATCCTATGCTACCTCCAATAGCAGAGGCAGTGTGACTTTGTATTATTATTATATGTCTATACTATCTGTAGCCAAAGCTCTCCGGGTAGTAAACAACATTTAAGTCACCCATCCATATTTCAACCAGACCTGACCCTGCTTAGCTTCCAAGATCAGGCAGGTTCAAGCACTGCAGGCTACATGCAAGCTATGTTCATTGCTTCCTTGAAATTTGGGCAAGGGAGTGCTGTTGCACTCATATCCTGCTTGCAGGTTTCCTGTGAGCAGCTATGTGTTTCCTGTGGATCACTTTGTGACCAGAATGCTGGACTAGATGGACCATTGTTCTGATCCAGCATGGCTCTTCTTATGTTCTTATGTTACAATTGGCCCAAGTACTGCAGCACAGCACCAGGTTGCTATGTTCAATCTGTTGAATGTTCTCAAGAATCGCTTTCTTGGGCATGTGGGCAAGAAAGAGATATCATATGCCTCTGCTATATCCTCCAAATGCATTAACCTATCAGTAAAGAGATCAGTGCATGAGTCACATGGACCAAAGTGATAAAGCAAAACAACCCGAAACAGTCACCCGGATGGACAGATTGCTGCTGCCTTCCATCAGATACCCATGCGTGCTGCTTTTCATTATGCATCCTTCTGCGATTTCTGTCTTTCCAGCAGGAAAGTGGGGACAAGGGGGCAGGCAAGACAAAGATCCAAGACCTTTCAAAAATCTATAGGGACCTTATACACAGGTTGTCTGGTATTAGGGATTCACTAGCCTCCCTGTATTCACCCAAAATGAAAATGGGTCTTTGCATCTGTTCCAAGTAAATGTGTGCAAGTATCCCAAATGCATCTTGGAAGCACCTGCAACTGCCATCTCCTTCCTCTGAGTGAAGGGTGGGGGGAAGCTTTAGGCATGGAAAGGGAAAGCAGAGGCAAGGGCTACAAGCACTGTTTGCCTCAGTCCCGGTGGCAACTTTTCCCACTGAGACTAGGCACACAGAGGCTGGGTTCAGACAACTTACACCCAAGGGGTGAAGGTGGATTGAGTGCGGATTGTTGTTAATCACTGTGTTGTCTGAACCCAGGTGAGATAGCAAACCATGGTGAGAAACCCTTGGTCCACAAGCCAGCAACAAATCATGAGTTCTTTTCTTGGGTTGTTCATGGTTTACAAGCCACAGTTCATTATTGCAGCTGGGTTCAGACAACACAATAACCCACATTTCAGCAACTACAATTCCCTCTAGGGATGGGGCTGGGAGGCAGGAGGAGAGGGGAGGAGTGAGGCCCTCAGCAAGAAAGGGGTGCTGCACATCAGCAAATCCTCAGCAAGAAAAAATGCTGCTGGGATTGGAAGCACCCACAGCTGCCCCTGCTCCTGCCAGTTCCACCTCTACCATGCCTACCTGGCAAGAAAAGTGACAAGGGAGCATTGGAGGATCCCCAAGGAAAGGGACAAGTGGTAGTAACAGAGGCAGCTCACAGGGCTGGAGTAAGTGCAGCCCTTCTTTGTGAGCACTTCTGATTGATTGCTAAGGTGTCCTTCATGTCCCATATCAGGACATGCCATGCCATACTTGAAGGATCAATGCAGATGCACCTTTCCTCTGGCACTTGTACTTTCCCAAATTTCCCCACAGAGGGAAACTTTGCAACTTCTCCAATCTATTCAGCTATTACTTAAACAGCTTGTAGGTTAATTCAAGGGCAGTGATAAACCAACAGCAGCCTAATTGGATAAATTGCCACCGAGAGATCTGATTCGTTATCAGATCCTTCCTTTATTGCCTCATCTGTTTCCTCTTGTGTTTTCTATCTATCAAGGATGTTCAAGATGATTTCAAAAATCTATAGCTGAGCCTTTCCAGATAATATGCATCGACAGCAAAGGGGAACGGGTTTGTGGGTTCTGAGTTGGCAAGATGGCTCTTTGCCTCTTTGCCTTACAAGGCTACATAAATGATCATCTCTTTTCCCTGTGCTTTTGTAGCAGGTTTCCTGCCTGCTCTCTGGTTATAATATACAGGATGTCACAAAAAAAATTGACATTATTTGAAATGTAAATATCTGAGTAACTACATGTCCTAGGCAAATGAAATTAAATAGGCTTCATGTTGAACAATAAAATATTTATTTATCAAAATTCGAACAAGAGATTCAAAGGGATGTAGATTTTCTAACTGATTTCACAAAGCTTCACAAATGTTCAATACGTGCACTGCCTGTGACACATCACAGGTCAAGTCGGTAGTCCACCTCCTGCCAAACATGCTGTAGCATGTCTTGCATAACATTGCATAACTAACATTAGTTAGTTTTTACACATTTCGTTAAAATTTGAGATCATTTGAGCCAGAATCGGCTATGTTATTAGACTTCGAAATTATGTCAATCTTTTTTTCTTTTCTTTTTTTTGGAGGGGGGGACACGCTGTACTTACAGTGCACAACACATCTGCAATATGCTCTGCTTAACTTGCTTTGCTCTCATGCAGTTTGATTTATTGCTTTGAGATTTATTGACTGCTCAAGAGGAGACAAGTTGTTGTGAACATGTCCTTGCTGGCATGGGATCCCAAGCACAACTTATTCTGGGGCTCCCTGCACAGCACTACATTTAGGAGTCATTCCTGGTTATTTTACTGAATAGCAAAAGAAGGCCAGCATGTGCAATGCAAGGATTGGGGCCTGAGTAACCCTGCAGTCAGCTGGAGCTCTATCAAAGGGCTCCCTGCACTGTGAGCTTGGACACAGCACCATGGGCTGTTGTTTTTTTTTTTTATTTATTCTGCTCGTTGGGCAGCTGCTTCATGGTCCTGATTCTGCCTCCAGTCTGGCCTTCAGTTGTCCCTTGCTTCCTGCCTGCTCCTAACTCTGCCCTTGCCTCCCATCTGACTCAGCCTTGCTGGATGCTGGATGGTCATTTTACCTCTGGTTCTGTTTTTCCTAGTTGCTGTTTGCTCCTTGCCTGTTCCTGACTCTGCCTTTGTTTCTGGCCCTGACAGGCTTTGCTGGACATCCAGTTCTCATGTGTGCCTGACTCTGCCTTCTCCTCTGGTCAAGCTTTGATGGAATCTGCCTAGCTTGGCCACAGCCATATGTGTCTTTGCAGTGCTTGCTTCATGTTCTTGAGCATGCCACCCCCCACCCCATCTTGTGTTCAATTGTGCCTTAACCTGATTCTTACCTACACTCTAACTCTACTTTGCTATGTACCTGACCTTCAGCTCTGCCCCTGCTATGCCTTGCTAGGTATCTCATCTTTGCCTGCTCCTGACCTTGCCTTCACTTCTGGTTCTGCCATGTCTTGCCTGGACAAAGGTCTTGCTGGTTATCTAACCTTCACTTGTTCTGTGTGGGCAGGGGGCATGACATTTTCACTTCCCACAATGCCCCAGAATGGCATGACTTGGGGAGATGGATTGTGGAAAATTAATATGGAAGTTACTGCTCAGTACTGAATCAAGAGTCTTGCTACTGCTGCCACAAAGCAAGTCTGGGGGGGAGGGGGGAGATGCCAGAGTAGGAGAGGACCTACTAAAAGCTACCCGAAGAGGCAACCTTATTTTATACTACCAGGCAAAGTCAGCCTGTGTCGAATAAGCCATGTGCTACTTTCTTCATGTTCTCTTTCAAAGTACTGAAAGAAAAGAAGAATTGGGGATCAGGTGAAACCATTTCCCTTGCTGTTTTGCAGTGTGTAATGCTGCACCAAGGGCTAAGATGTTGTGGAAGTGAATATCTCCCATGTCATTAACAAAATTACTGGCTGACCTTTCAAAGGGATTCAAAAGGCCTCTAGCAAGGGCAAAGCCAACAATAGCTGAACCTGAGAGAAGCCATCAAAACCCACAACAGAAGCTGGATCTAGAGAAAGGAAGGTCTCTTTGAAAGTTTTAGGCATTGTATTTTCCTCCAACTAATTACCCTTCTTTTTAGAAACACAAAAATACACATTTTGAGCAACTTGGCACCCTGGACTCATTTTACAAGGCATATTCAGCTGCAGAACTGTACTTTATAAAATAGGTATTGATTAACAGAAACTTACTGCAGTGTCTGTTATATGTTCTTTTGGATAAACTGTATATAAGCTTTTAACCTACCTTGTACATTATCACAGGTTTCCTAGCTACTATCTTTTTTAAATAAATTCTGATTGAAAATTTAGACTTTTTAAGGCTTTTCTTTAAATGAAATGTATGTACTGATAGATAGATAGACAGACAGACAGACAGACAGACAGACAGACAGACAGACTATCCTTGAAGGCTTCCTTAAATAATTTAAAACCAGTTAGCACATTCAAGCAAACATCTTGATTCCTGCCATTGAGCTGAAGCTGTGTGAGAGTTTCAAAGCAAACAAAGGCATATTATTGCCAAAACTACATTCTATTCATCTTGCACCAGGATATGGGAGTATGCTGTTCTGAGCTACAGATGGGCAAAACATAACAAAAATGGATCACTATTAACTGTAGAGAACTTTACAAGGCCAGAGTTTATCTCACTGTTCCAAGAAGGTGGCCTGCCATTCAATGATGGTTGTGACTATCAGAGGCTAGTCAGTACCCAGATACTGCTTAAGGTTTGGTGCATCTATGCCCGGAGGGTATATTCTGTCATCAGAGTCATGCTGAAATTGATGCTTCTGTTTATTCTGCTACCAGGCACTGCATGCAAGATTCATTCCATTAATTGTTCCATTTATGATGATCCTCACCCTGTTCTGCATGCATTTTATCAGCCAGGTCACCTGCTCATTGGCGCGATTGTTTCCCATATCTTCTTCTTTCATGATACTCCCTCTTTCACAGAACGGACAACACTGACACTGTTTCATGAGCCTATGTAAAGAATTATTCCTATTTGTTCCTGTTAAAAATGTCCAGCGCATAATCAGACAATAACATGCTCAAACAGCACTTAACTCTGCTTCCAGAAAAGTATTTGGGCAATTGCCCAATTTCAAAGAATTATAATAGGTCCAAACATTGTCACTTTCCATCAGTAGTCTTTGTGTCCACTACTTTATTGGTCTCCTTTTCTTACCATGAAAATTCAATTAAAGAGGAACAGAATAACTGCACAAAGCATTTGTAACTGGCTAGTGGGGACTCTCAACAGGAGCCTTCAGCACTGCAACTTTCTATTGCAGGTCCTACTTCCCCTTTACAACTGGCACATTCATTTTGGGCTGAAGGGTGCCTGTGTACAAAGAGAATAAATCCAAGGAAAGTTAGCAAGCAGTTCCTTCCAACAGTTTAGTTCCATTCTTGTTTCAAGAAATATTCTAGGGGGCTTCCTTCAGTCTTAAAAACAGAGGTGCTGGAGAGGTAGGAAATAGCCTGGCCTACTCTTGTGCAAAGTAACAGCCATTCATGTTATGTGCAGTAATCAGCAGGTGAAGCTTGCAACCATGTGGAGATAGATCCGTTGACTGCAGCAGATCAAACAGCTATCAAAGGCTTAGCTAAAAATTAGTTCAAATGTCCATAGCCTTGTTGTGATGAAGAATTATGTTAACATATTTAATGTGAAGTTAAACAGCCTGTCCTTCTATTGCAGTTCACTGTCAAAGATCTACCAGCATGTCCTGGCCTTGGTATTTGCTGTAAATGAGATCAATGAGAATCCCAACCTCCTGCCGAATGTGACGCTGGGCTTCTCCATCCTCAACAGCTATTCTATTCCAAGGCTGGTTTATAAGATCACCCTGGGCCTGCTTTCCACAAAGGGCAGGTTTGTCCCCAACTTCAGGTGCCACACTCAAATGAATCTAGTAGCAGTGATCGGAGAACTCCTCTCTAAGACCTCTGTCATGATGGCCAACCTATTAGCCACCTACAAGATCCCTCAGGTAGGCTGATTGCATGTACAGATAGGCAGGCTGTATGCAGGCATAGCTTGCATGCAAGAACTGTAGCACTGTAATTCACCATGCATTTTTCTTTCAGCTCACCTATGGATCATTTTCTCTAGTGCAAGGTGACAAAAGCCCATTCTCTCATCTGTACCAAATGGTCCCCAGTGAAATCTATGAATACATGGGGGTTGTCCGGTTACTTCGTCATTTCAAATGGACATGGGTTGGGCTCCTTGCTGCAGATGATGCCTATGGGGACACCTTCTTGCAGATGGTGGTCCCACTGTTCTCCCAGAATGGTATCTGTTCTGCCTTCATACTAAGAACACCAACACAAAGTTACTCCGATGAGTTCGTACAATCTACTTTTAGATTTCTGGAAAAATTTCCCATTCTCCTGGACAGAAATGTCAGTGCATGTTTTGCACATGGAGAACATATGCTGGTTTTGGGAGGGGTGTTTTTTGTGGCAGAACTGTTGCTATTTCCACCACTGGGCAAAGTGTGGATTACTACATCCCTATGGGATTTCTTATCACTGTCCAGTCAAAAACCTTCAAATATACAAAATTTTCATGGTACTATATCCTACACTGTTCACTCAAATGAGCCGTTAGGATTCCGAAACTTTGTACAGAAAATAAGGCCATCCTGGGTCAAAGGAGATGGCTTCATCCAAGTCTTCTGGGAGCAGGCATTCAACTGTTCACTCAAACTGTCTGATGTGCTTGAGGGAAGCGAGAACATCTGCACTGGAGAGGAGAAGTTGGAAACTCTTCCTGGAACTTCATTTGAAATGGGCATGACTGGCCACAGCTACAATGTCTACAATGCTGCCCATGCAGTGGCTCATGCCTTGCATGCCATGTATGAATTGAACTCTAAACACAGAAAATGGACTAAAGGAAGGAGTCTGACTTTTCAGGCTGTGCAGCCATGGCAGGTAATTGTGCCAGACCACTTTTTAAAAAAGGAGAGTTGTTTATGATCCAGCAAGGGGCAGGGGGATCTAAATCTGAACAAAAAGACTACAAAAAATGGTTTTGCAAATGTATTTGGATCAGTGATGTTTAGGATCAGATCCAGATTTAGCGTTTTACTGAAAGAAGAGAGGCTGAAAGTTTGAAATCCAAAAAGCAGTCCAATAAATGATCCAGGCATGGAGAGAAGTCTATCATCGTAGAGCTGCATAAAGCAATTCTACTAAACTTGTGTTCATTCACCTTTATAATTGTATGCCATTAACTAGCAGTGACATCCTTGTGATTAAAATACTGAATCTTCCACATCATTCAACAGGCTTGAGTGGGGAATATTTTCTTGGTGTTTGATACATTTTTCTTTAGGTACTAGTGTACTAATTGGATTGAATTATTTGTTTGCATTTTAAAAAATTGAAATAAATGCAATCAGGGCAAAATCACTCCTGCTCAAAAGCATCATACTTTGCCAACCTTCTCTTCCATCAAAATGAAAAACTAGAAAGGAGATTGTATTCTAGCAAAATAAAACCACCAAATACTCCAGGTTGAATTAGAATAACTCTTTTTTTTTTAGATAAGCAAGGATTTACCTTAGCAAAGGTTTCACTGCCCTTTGCTCTGTGTGTTTCATTCTTTCTTTCAACCTAGCTGCATCACTTTCTAAGAAACATCTTGTTCAACAACAGTGTCAGAGACACGGTGCATTTTGATGAAAACAGAGAACTGATTGCTGGTTTTGATGTTACAAACTGGGTAACTTTTCCAAATAACTCTTTTGTTAGAGTAAAAGTAGGAAGACTGGAACCTCGAGTTCCTGCAGGAAAAGAACTAACCGTTCATGATGACCAGATTGTGTGGCATAAAAGCTTTAACCAGGTGAGATACAGCTGCAAATGTTTATAGCTATGAAATAATAGGCAAAAGTTCAGTTTTGGCCCTGTTTCATATACTGATTAGAGGGCTGGACTGGGACTCAAGAGATCCAGGATCCCAGCAGTTATCTTGGTGATCTTGCAAAATACTGTCACTGTCTGCATCCTGAGAATCAGTCACCTATCACATCTGGAATCCAACATCCATTCTCAACAGTAATCAGATATGGCAAAGGTGGAAAGAATTCCAGATGTTTTGGACATCAACTGCCAGAAGCCCATGTCTGCAGAGTCAGTGGTCAGGAATGCTGAGAACTGAAGTTCAAAACATCTTAAGAGCTACTGATTGCCACCCTGGATAGATGGAATTGCTTACTGTCTGCTCCACAAATGGAGCTCTGTGTAGTTAATATCTCAAAGCAAGAGCTTATAACAGTCGGAACAGGCTTCTTGGTTGCTTCTGTTACTGCTAATCTCCCTTGTGTGCTTCCAACAGGTGCTGCCGTGTTCTGTGTGTAATGACAACTGCTATCCTGGCTATAGGAAGAAAAAGAGGGAAGAGGTGCCCTTTTGTTGCTATGATTGTGCTGTGTGTCCGGAAGGGACAATCTCTCAGCAGAAGGGTAGGAGAAGTCATGCACAAGAGCTTGGCCAGCAGGCTGTAAAAAAGATAATTCCTGTCTGGGTCTTCTGCCTTTTCTTGCTATCTACTGTGCAGAAATCAGGCTTGTGTGCAGCCATTTTAATGCAAGACACCTTGCTGCAGGTCAGACTTTTGTTATGTCTGCAGGATTGTTATGGCATAGGCAGGATTGCCAGCAGCATGAAGCATCTTTGGGCAGCTCCCAGTCAAGTTCTACTGGCACTAACAGCTGCTTTGACCCATCCTCCTTTCTCCAGTATTGGGATCACAGCACATGTGTTAACCTAATAACCTTAGGATGGTGGCATGACAAGTGAAGACCACCAATTTGGAAGACTTTAAAAGGAGATTGAGCAAATTCATGGGGGATAAGGTGATCCATAGCTATTAGTCCTGATGGCTATAGGCTGCTTCCAGCAGCAGAGGCAGATGGTGGGAAGGTGCTGTTGCCTTCATATCCTTCATGTGTGTTCCCATGGATGTCCACAGTGTCAGCAGAATACTGGGCCAGATGTGCCTTTGATCTGTTCTCCTGTGGCTCATCTTACGTTCATATGAGTTGCTGAAGTCCATCTAATGAGTTATTGGCTGAGATGAGATATAAATCAAAGAGTTCCTGACTCAATATTGGTCACTATTCTACAATCACTGCAAGCATATTTTCTACAGCAGAAAGGCAGTGATGGCATTCTCAAATCCAGGACACCTATGTGGTACTTCCTGTCTCCTCCTTGTGATGATTCCTCAAAATTCACCCTTTCCAAGAAGACTTTGACCCAAGTGTTGATCTTTATATCCAATATGCAGTGGCAAGATAACATACATGTCTTACTGAATGCATATCATGTAGGAAAGCATAATATTTTATACTTTTGTGTAAACATTGAGGGTACAATGTGGATTGGAACAATAAGTGTGAGTAGACAGGATTAAACCTTCCCACCCAGCCACTATTTTTATTCAATTTCCCCTCTGTTTTGATGAGTTTTAAGGGGTGGTGGATTCCACTGAATGATAGTAATGCAGAAGAACTTTGAAGTTTACAATGCAGAATTACTTACTCCCACGTCCAAAAAAAATGTGTACTTAGGAGTAAGCCCTACTGAATTTAGTGAGGCTTATTCCCAAGTGCATAGAATTGCAGAAATTCTTTGATCCTCATAGTTCCAAGTCTTAACATACTTCGACTTCTGCTCCTTTTTCCAGACCTGGATGCCTGTATCAATTGCCCAGATGATCAACATCCCAACATTGACCAAAATCAATGCATTCCTAAAGCTCTAAGCTACCTCTCTTATGAAGAATTCCTGGGGATCATTTTAGCGAACTTAGCTATTTCTTTCTCTTTGATCACAGGTTTGGTGTTTGGGATATTTGTGAAACACCAAGACACCCCCATAGTCAAAGCCAACAACCGGAACCTCACCTATATCCTCCTCAGTTCCCTCCTCCTTTGCTTTCTCTGTTCCTTGCTTTTCATTGGACAGCCTGGAAAAGCAACTTGCTTTCTCCAACAAGTAACTTTTGGCATCATCTTCTCTGTCGCCCTTTCTGTCATTCTAGCGAAAACCATCATTGTGATTCTAGCATTTATGGCCACCAAACCAGGATCCGGGATGAGGAAATGGATGAGGAAAAGACTGGCAAACGCAATCATCCTTTTCTGTTCCTTTATTCAAGTAGGGATTTGTACTGTTTGGCTCAGTACTTCACCTCCATTTCCTGATGTGGACATGCACTCACTGAATGGGAAAATCATTCTGGAATGCAATCAGGGTTCAGCTTCCATGTTTTACACTGTATTGGGCTACCTGGGCATCCTGGCTGCTGTCAGCTTCACTGTGGCTTTCCTAGCCAGGAATTTGCCTGATGCCTTCAATGAGGCCAAGTTCATCACCTTCAGCATGCTGGTCTTCTGCAGTGTATGGCTGTCCTTTGTCCCAACCTACCTGAGCACCAAAGGAAAATACATGGTGGCCGTGGAGATATTCTCCATCTTATGCTCCAGTGCTGGGTTACTGGCTTGCATCTTTTCCCCTAAATTGTACATTATTGTATTTAAGTCTGAATGCAACAAGAAGGAGCATTTATTAGGAAGGAAAGGGTGAAATAATGGGTTTGCCTCTCAATTCTGTTCTAACTGATATTTCTTTAGAAATTTCTGAGAAGAATACTTCCCAAGCCTCCATGTGGAACACCCAGTCAATCTTCAGAGTTAATCTGGTTTGGAACTAGTTTAAATATGTGAGATTCTCCCATTTTTTAAAAGAAAAGCTACTCTTTTAACTTGTGCTATGCAGCTTCCTATAACCCTGAACCATTTTTCAACTAGTGTTGGTCCAAAAGGAGGACAGAACCAATAGAAATAGAGGCCTATCCACATGCGTGCATTCGTAACTACATGCAATGTTTAAGCACAACACTGATTGGGTTCAGATACCATGATAATCCACACTCAAGTGTTAAGAAATGGGTTGAGTACTGGTTGTCCTTGAACCATGACTTGTTTGTAATATGTGGGTTATTGTCTTGTGTGAACCCAGGTTCTTTCCAAGCAAAAACTATCTGAAGAGAACCCAGCATTTGTTGTTGGGTTGTGAATTGTGTTTTTTCTATGGTTAAGATACCAAGTGGTTCAGTTCAGTAATTCACACTCAGCCCAGACTCAGCTTTGAGTGAGGGTTATGTATGAGTGATGTTGCTTTTTGCCATTCAGTGTGTTAGCATCATCCACAGATCAGCTTTTCTCAGTCTGGTGCCCCCCAAGTGTTTGGACTACAGCTCCCATCACTATTGACCATTTGATTGGGCTTGTGGGAGTTGTAGTCCAAAAGATCTGTAGAGTGCCACACTGGGGAAGGCTGCCACAGAACTTTTTGGCACATTAGTAGGCACCATTTTTCCAAAATCAACAAGACATCCAACCATATTCCTCTAACGGAAACAAGGATCACAGTTGCCTCCTCTAGGACATTTCAGTGCTTAGGCTTACTTTGAGCTGGGAGTGTGATAAGCTAAAGAATTCCCAGATGCAGACATGCACTTGCTGAACGGGAAAATCATGCTGGAAAACAATGAGGGCTCTCATGTTTTATTGGGTCCTGGGCTACTTGTCAGCTTCACTGTGGCTTTCCTAGTCAGGAAGTTGCCTGCCAGCTTCAACGAGGCCAAATTGATCACCTTGCTGCTGGTGTTTTGCAGTGTGTGGCTATCCTACCTGAACACCAAAGGGAAATACATTTTGCCTGTGGAGATATTCTCCAGCTTACACTGAAGTGCTGAAATACTGGACTGTATTTAGCCCTAAATGCTACATCATTGTGCTAAGGTCAGAGTTGAATAACAAAGAAAAGCTAGGAAGGAAAAATTAAATTAAATTAAATTAAATGTTTCCCTCTCTATTCTGTTTTTATAAGCAATTCCTGGAACAGTTCAAAAAAGTACAGTCCCCGTAGTGATGATAAATTAAAGAAAGTGGTGATAAATTAAAGAATCACTCTTTTTATTTATTTTAGCATGATCATTGTCTTCCATGCATTGGCCGACTCACATGCTGTGGCCATAAAATTTATTTCCATCCAGTTGTCTTGTGCTCAAGTTGAGAATCGGAAAGGTTAGCAGATCACAGGAAGGCAACGTGGCTGGAATAAAGGCAGATAGAAAGAAGTACAGTTTGCAGTGAAGAGGGGCTTATCTAGCTGCAGTGAGCATAAGGAGGGCAAGGGATTATAGATGATGGGCAAGGGGAGGCAGCTGTGTGTTTCTACATGAAGCTTTTAACATGGCTTCTGTTTGTGGAGCCTTCGCAGAATTCTTTGTGCAGCATTTCTTTCTCCACTTTTCTATATGTTCTTCTCCATAACCATGAGCTAGTGCTGCAGTTTAACAGAATTATGCAAATACGTGAGGTTTTCATGGGACCATTCAGGGATATACCAGCCATTCCTCATTAGGAAAAAAAGCCAATAGATGGTTGCAGAGCAGGGGAAATATCTGCAAATTACCATGCAGGAGGGATTTTGAGTGCACCATAAATGCCTCATAAACCTGGCTCTAAATCTGCCTTACTTAACCAGGCTTTGGTTTGCTTTAGCACAGTATGCCAATCTTTGGAACACAATGTCCCCAGTGTCTTTCCTATTAGAGACCTAGTTGGGCCAAAGAGAGATTAATCCAAACCCGAAGGCCTGGATAACTTTCTAATCTGTATTGATTGCAATAACAGCTCAAAGTTCCACTCTAACTTTGTGAGGGCATCAGCTGTAGCCTATGTTTACCTCCATGCTGCTCTTGCCATTTATTGCTAACTCCCAAAGGGGCATCTCTCAAAAAACACAAATCAAGCCAAGACCCTGTAATTAGGTCTAATTGTCACAGGCTAATCCAGCCAGTGCAACTAGAGGTCACATCAAACTTACTTTGGAACAAACTTTGCCAAGTAAATCTACTGAACAGCATTCATTCTAAAGTTAGTTTGCATTCATATGGAGGAGGGTGAAACAAGTAGAAAGACCAACTTGACACTTGTTTTAAATTAGGGTATGTGACATTTCCTGTCACATACTCTAACTGAATAATATCGGCAAGCAAATACCTCAGTCGCTGGCCAAGGGCAGATACAGCAGTGCAGGGCAAAACTTGGCTGATACAAAGACTTTTACTCTTTCTCTTCTGCATATTCAGGATCAGACCAAGGCAAGTTGCCGCCTCAGAGAAAATAAGCCCATTCTAGATTCAATGAGAAAAAGTCTACTATATCCAAAGTAGAAACTTGTTGATTTATGCACGTCATCTTTATATATGAAGTATATAAAAAGCCCTAACTGGTTTACATATACATATTAAAAGGAAATTAAATGTTAATGTTAAAATGCAATTTAGAATAATCTCATAGAGCGGGACAGGAGCAGTAAAATGAAGGAGTGGGATTGATTTAAAGAGAAGCCAAGGAAAGCCTGGGAGAACTTGAAAAGGAAGGTATTTGAAAGATGCCACATTCTTTGCCACCTGAGCCACACGGGAGAGTTTTCCAAAGGCTGGTCTGCTACTGAGAAAGCTTTCTGTGGAGATGTTCATGGCAATGGTCCATAGATTTCAGAATACCCAGCATGGCCTACTCCATTTATCTTAAAGGATGTTTGGTATATATATGGGAAGAGAGTCCACTAGATATTCTAATCCAAGTTGTTTAAGGCTCTGTAGGACAACAACATAACTTTGAACATGGGTCAGTAGCTATAGACAGCCAGTGGGCCTTTAATGCAGATCTTATGAGAGCCTAACCAGGTGCTCAGTGAGCACCAAACCTCCTACACTAGCTGCGGTTTCTGAACCAGGCCCAAGGGCAACCCCATGTAGAGCACATTACCCTAATTCTGAAGCTACCAGTGCATGGATTGCTTTAGCTAGGCTATCCCTATCTAGGAATGAGAATAGTTAGCATATCAGTTGATGTTGGTAATGGGTGCTGAGGTCACCTGAGCCTCCCATGAGACAAACGGATCCAGGAGCACCCTCAAACTTCAGAGTGCAACCTATTCTGGTACAGGTAAATAGCCCAGTTCTCAGACCTGAAACTTCCATCCCATAGGGTTTCTATCTTATTAGGATTCTCTTTCAATGCATTAACCTTCCTCCAAGCCATAACTACATCCAGGAACTGGCTCAGAATGTTTATGGCCTGTCCCAGTTCAGATCTCACAGAAACATAGAGATGAGTGTCATTACTGGACTGGGGACACCATGCTGAAATCTCCCAATTATTGCTTCCAGCAGCTTCATATGGTCATTGGGCCCATGGCAGACAGTTTAGCTGCCATGGGCCCAAGGTGCAGTCATCTCATGTTATTTTTTGGAACTTACTTCACAAGTATGAGTGGAACCCATGTAGGACAGTGCCTCCAACTCCCAATTCATGGAAGTGGTCCACAACAATACCATGATTGACAGTTGCAAAAGCATGGAGAGATACAGAAGAAGAAGCAGGCTCACACTCCATTGTTGCCCTTCCAAATAAGATAACCAAGCCCAAGTCCACCCCAAGACCTGGCTTCAGTGCAATGGCCTCACCATCCCATAGTGTGACAAGAACTTCATCTAAATCACCATCTCTAGTTACTAGCCCCACTCCCACAAAGCATTTAGGGATCCCCTTGATTCCATAAGTCTCCAGGGGTGGACCATCTTAATAGGTTCCCCATCCCTACAGGGAGGGACAGGAAGTGATTGCACTATGGCAATGGAGTGATTTTAAGCCCACCACCCATATCTAGACCATCGTTCTCAGAGGAAAAAGCCAAGGCAGGAATATACCCTGCTGTATGGGGACAGTCTTTCTGAGCTCACCCCAACTTAAAATGGGTCTTTAACCTCCAGTGCGGTGCTGACCCTTTCCATGTGTGTCCAGAATCTTTGCAGCTTACAAGGCAACCCCCTCCAACCTGGTGCCTTGCAGATGTTTGGACTTCAGCTCCTATCAGCCTGAGCCAACATGGCCAATGGCCTAGAAGTCTAGACTGATATAGTGATTCCAAGGCATATGCATGCCATTCTAAGCAAGCCAATGTGGAAGGCATTTCCTGAAGACAGAAGTTAGTCGTGTGGAAGGAAAACAAACAATTGCAATACCAAGAAATCTTATCAGTCAACTCTGTTAGGTACAATCCATCATTTTTATTAGGATTCTACAGTACTGTAGAGAGACACCCTCTCCAAACCGATCTGGAAAGGTTATCACCCCTCCCAAGTAGAGTAACAGGAATAGACACTTGTAAAAATACAAAAGCAGAAGCGAAGGTTGATATGGGGCAAAGGCTTGTGCAGGCAAGCAAGTCAGTATCTTGTGATATATTTAATAACTTAGCATATAACAACTTCCCTTCAGTAACACTGTACTGATGGTAAACCTGCGTTTCTTACCAACTAAGACCAAAGCAGGGGGGTGGGGACAGCACTTGCCACTCTAGGGCTTCTCCTTGCTGCCTTAGCCATTCAAAAGAAGCTCCCTGCCCACAGAAAGCAGTGATATGTTCCCCAAGGGTCACCACTGTCAAAGGGGGAAGTTGGACATTCAATTTCCACCCCCAATAGACCACTGCCACCATGTCCA